AAGTAGTGTGTCGCCTGCGGACCACTAATTAGTGCGTGATGAGCTCGTGTTGAGGCCTAAGCATCTAATTAATGAGAGGAGTAGTTATTATTCTATGCGTGGCTATAATGGACACAGTGGAAGTGCAGTGCCGTGCTGAACACCACCTCACGAGATCATGGATTCTGTGAGCTGTGATAATGATGATGTACACTCGTGCCATATGCTTGGTGTCTAGTTACTTTACTACGCGTTCCTCATCATATGGGTCCGTTCCACACCAACCCGTCTGATTCGTAACAACAGTTTAGAAGTAGTTAGCAGGATTATAGGTACCCTATAGGGTACTATAACTTTGGCTAGCGAACACGATGATGCGGAATTGTCGTTCGTAACTCTAAAAGGCATTGACATGTCACAAACTTTCGCAGTAGCAATAATCGAAACGGTTTAATACTAATCACTACAAAATCTCCGAATGTTACCTCCATGGCTATAGAATGCCTTCTAGCTATGTGTCACAACTTGTTCCGTGCATGTACAGAAACTAATCGGCACGCAACGTACGGACGAACTGTCATGTCCATCGATCGTTGACACGTAGGACAATTTACAGAAGAGAACACACCCTGCGAGTATCGGCCGCCAAAGGTAAAACTCCAGGTGATGCTAGAGCTTTACCCACTCACTGTTTTTCGGAGTAACGCTCGCAGTGGAACGTAATCTCGCAGTAATATTTATCGGATCGGGACTCGTTAGTCGATACGACGGGTCAATGGATGCATTTTGGATGATTGAGGGGAGATGGCTAATGTTGATTTCACGTGTTCAGGTAATCCGCAACGCGCGGTGTTCGTGCTGTTTGTGCGCTGATAGGCAGGAGCACTGTTTTAGATCTCATTAGCCATTATCAGTGGTACTCTTGCGATGAGAGAGAGAGAACGAGAGGGAAGGGAGAAAGGAGGCGAGAGAGAGAACGAGAGAAGAGACGAGAGAGAAGAAGAGAAAGAGAGAGATAGAGAGAGAGAGAATGATCCGAGAGAGAGAGAGAGATGAGGACAAGAGCAGAAACGAAAGAGACGAGGAAGCGAAAAAAACCGAGACAGAAAAGGAGAAACACACAGCACGCGCACGCACGCCACTGCACGCACGCAGCGACGCGACGCACGCACGCACGACGACCAGTCACACACACACATCACTACACCACACACCCGAGCGAGCTGATAGACAGATAGGGCGAATGAATAGAGAGAGAGAGAGAGAGACACAGAGAGGCTGACAGAGACTAGAATCGAATCGCGTGGTTGAGATACGTAACGCGGCGGGAAAGTGACATCCACAGTTCTTCCGTCACATACGCAGAGAACGGTACCTTCCGTCACATACGCAGAGGACTCCTTCCGTCACATACGCAGGGAAGGACTCCTTCCGTCACATACGCAGGGAAGAACTCCTTCCGTCAAATACGCAGGGAAGAACTCCTTCCGTCACATACGAAGAGAAGAACTCCTTCCGTCACATACGCAGGGAAGAACTCCTTCCGTCACATACGCAGGGAAGATCTCCTTCCGTCACATACGAAGAGAAGAACTCCTTCCGTCACATACGAAGAGAAGAACTCCTTCCGTCACATACGCAAGGAAGGACTCCTTCCGTAACATACGAAGAGAAGAACTCCTTCCGTCACATACGAAGAGAAGAACTCCCTCCGTCACATACGCAAGGAAGAACTCCTTCCGTCACATACGAAGAGAAGAACTCCTTCCGTCACATACGCAGGGAAGAACTCCTTCCGTCACATACGCAGGGAAGAACTCCTTCCGTCACATGCGAAGAGAAGAACTCCTTCCGTCACATGCGAAGAGAAGAACTCCTTCCGTCACATACGCAGGGAAGGACTCCTTCCGTAACATACGCAGGGAACGACTCCTTCCGTCACATACGCAGAGAAGAACTCCTTCCGTCACATACGCAAGGAAGGACTCCTTCCGTAACATACGCAAGGAACATACACAATTATATTCGAACGATCGATATAGTAAATCAATCTGCTAGTGTCAGACACTTGGATTTCCAAACACGAGCGTACGTGCATGCGATAAAGATACAGTTAATTCTGCCTGTCCTCAATTTCTAGAATCGTGTGAAATTCACGAAGTTTACTGCTTATATCCACACACCGTGCTCTACTGAATAGCACAATCTTCTCGTTTCCTATTCGATTTTTAAAATTTACTATTACTATTATTTTACTATGATTTTTAAATTCAACTATGCACTCGTGTCTTAAGAGTTTAAAAACAGTTTTCAAAACAGTTGTGGGTCAGAGGTTCGTAGTATGACAAATACTCGTATCCAAATGAATAATAGATTATCATTACACGCGCCTTAAAATGACGTGATAAAAACGATAAACCCGCGTTAGAAAAAAAACCGGTTTTTCACTGGAACTCGCTGCCACGTCCTCGCCATGAAAAGCGTACTAAGGAAATTCTTTATGGTTTAGTCTATTATACCCAGTAAACTCTGACCGCAGGTCTCCCGAGTTTAAACGTAGGATTAGTAGCATTTTACGGTGACCTTCCATCCCACGTGTGAACATTGCCTTTCTTCTCGGATGTATCTCGAACAATAGATACTGCACCCACTCCACTGTAACATCATACATACGTACATGCACGTACGTACGCACGCACGCACGCACACACGCACGCACATACACACACACGCACGTACACACAGGTATATATATATATATGTGTAGTATCAGGGGTTAATAATGACAAATTGTCATTATTAACCCCTGGTAACATGTATGACTATATGCATGCATGTGTGTGCGTGCGTGCGTAGGTACGTCATGCATGCTACGTATTTAGCCACTATTATGACTTCCTTTAAATTTGTTTTGATGACAGGTAGAACTATACAGACATACTTATATTACCTTAGGTAATACAATTATCGTATCACCTCATGTGACGAACTAACTAGCATACAAGCTATAGTAACTAGGCTATACAGCGCCAGTAGATGCAGTACTTAGTTATGTAATTTAAATTATAAGTACTATCGGTCGGTCATGTCAAGTTATTGGCAATAACATCGTCAAATAAAATTCAACATCTAATCATTTAAACCAACATCGGATACATCGTACAAAAACACACAAATCATTATACAAATTCCATTTTCACCCCTCCATTTCTCTCTCGCTCGGGGGTTCGCCAGGTACTACGTTTATAACCCAGGAAGAAGGTTGGAAACCCATCGGAGGTATAAGTCAGCCGGTGGCCGGTGCTCGGGCCTTTACGCTCGCCTAGCCTCGCCTCTTATTTGCACACAATTCAAAAAGAAACGACAAACGCCCGAACCAACGGCGCCTTTCAGAAATCTACTCTCTGAGAACTTCCTCCCTCCTCGCTCCTCCCCCTCCCGCCTTCCTCCGCCCGCATCTTTGCCAAGTGAGATTAAACGAGATGCGTTCTACCGGAGACGTCACGTGCTTGCAGCACGCTTGTGAAGAAGCGTGAGCGAGAAGGAGAGGCGGGGGAGGGGTGAGAGAGAGAGAGAGAGGCGGAGGGAGGGGGTGAGAGAGAGTGAGACAAACACGACGAGATAAGTTCATCGACATTGCGCCAGCCATCATGCAGTGCACATATAACGTGTGAGGTGGCTCGGTGGACGAGCATACGCAACACCTGGTAGGGGCAACACCTGCTAGTCTCGCATTTATGATATAGGTTTAATGAATGCGCGTGCGAAAGGGAGAAAGAGAGAGAGAGCGCGCGAGAGCAAGAGGAAGAGAGAGAGAGCGACATGAGAGCCAGACTCGTTTTGAAAGGGATAATTTTTTATTGTAATGCAGCCGGGTCGTAAAGTCATAAAGCTGGAAGTCAAACAGTGTGAGAAAGAGACAAACAGAGGGGGAAAGAGGAAAGGTGAGAGAGAGAAAGATACAGCGAGACAGACATATAGAGAGGAGAGAAGGGGGAAGAGAAGAGCGCGAGTAGAGAGAGAGATGGGGGAGGGCAGAGAAGCAGAGAGGGGGAGGAGACGGAGAGAGAGAGAGAGAGAGGGGGGAGGGAAGGAGGAAGCTCAATAGCACAGCAAGACGTACGCTCCCGCAGATCACCGAAACGAGATTTCCGTGTTTGAATACTTACAAACTGGCTCTAGCACGGGCGCGCATACAATGCACACGAGTCCTTCTGGTCATTTTTTTGTTCGGAGTGGGGGTTAAACAAACACTGAAGTAGTTCTTCGAAGTGGCCCGTATATACGGAAACGGTTTCGGCAAATAACACGACGTATATGCTCTAAAATCTATGAAGCTAACGCGCATGTAACGACTAATGTACTGTCTGTAAACTGTTGACTAAGCGTTTTGAGTAGCCAGTGAGATGTGGACGTATCTTCGTGAATTATTTTCTAAAATAATTCAATCTTTACGAATGGTGCACTCAGCACTCGATACTCAGTACATAGACGGATTCTCTCTCGGCCTAGACTACGTGTTGCATCTTCCCGCTGCATCTTACAGAATAATTAGTGATTAACAATGAGCTTGGAGCTTCATCAACGCAGTCACACTCGTCACAATGGGCCATGACGCGTCACCAGGTGACAATGGCGTAAGTAACACCAGAGGCCCGTCGTTAAAAAAATAATTCGTCTCAACATTGTTCTCCTCATCTTCTCACAGACCGTTGACAGAAACACGGTAAAGTTACCCGTTTCTCACACGCAGTGTATGAGGAAAGCCCAGACTACGAGAAAAATGTTAATGTTAAGACTAATGTTTTAACTTTGTTTCTGACAACGAATCCAGGCTTTGCCACGGACAAACAATAAAAAAATCAATGAACAAGCATCGAGGAAGCAGAAGAACCACGAGGAAAACAACAGACAAAAGCAACGGGCATGGCTTCTGCTGCTTCTGCATCTATCAAACAGTGTGATGCCCCCTCTCCTTCTCACTCAGCAACCCCTGCTCAGCATTCCTCATTCCTACTCACCCTGCAGGGTAGGCGACCAGTCCCGTAGCCTCGCTCGTCCGCACGCTGGCATTGGACGACACGGTCAGACCCAACACCTTGTCCAGCTGCACCTGAAACACACACACAGACCCGAAAACATTAGCTCTCGCGTCTGGACCAGAGAGTTGAGCAGTAATTCTCTTCACACCATAATGGTGCTTACACACAAAACTTACACGACCAAGGTGTCACAATATCACATGCATGATACTTACTATGGCATGAGGAACATCTGCGTGTAAGAACCACAGTGATAGTCACTATATATATACAGGCCCAGCAGGTTTCTAGTAGACGAGCACACGAGGTGAGCCCACGAGAATGGGAAAGTATAGAATTGAAGGAAATATATAATATGTAGATTTCCCTCAATTCTATTATGTTATCACATATTATGTTTCCCTTAGGGAAAGTATCTATTCAGTGGATAATGCTTGCAGTGTCCCATTGTTGCCAAAAGCAGACAAAGAGACACGTTTTCCATAATAATCTAATTATCTGAATATACAAAACCGTAATTAAAACGTTCTGTAAATGGTACACGAACAACACAACATGTAATCTGATGTAATTAAACGCAAGTGAGATATCTACCGATCGGTCAACATGCCTGATCGTGTAATTACCAACACGGATTAGTTGCGCAGCCGCATGTCAATTACGTAGATAGCAAACGAAGGTGCGTGGTGTCAACTTGCGTGCAGGATGTCAGACGTAAGAACGCACACATAGTGCAGACACGCAGTGCGCGATACATTGTCACGTTGTCGTGTAACGTTGTTGTTACAACACACAGTAAAAAACACCTCGACTCTCCAACGCTCGCATTTTATTTACTACCCGAGCATTTTACTGACTTGAAACTCACTACGCGCCAAATTACAAAAAGCGGACTAAATCACCCAGCGCGCTCCGTATAGAGTCGACCCTCTTGCAAAACGGAGGAGACTCGAAACCTCGCAGGCAAACCTCCAGTTGAAAACCGAGTTCCGCAATCAGTCACCCCCCCCCACCATCTTGTAGTCATTCTAAAGTCATGTAATCATGTAGGCATCTAGTATTCTGTAATCATGTCTTGCCCTGGCAAAATCATTTTAAATGCTTCATTCTGTAAAAGCCTTCACAGTTCTTCCCCTTTCTTCTCCCCCCCCCTCCTCCTCCTCTCTATACACGCAACCCTGTCCCGAATTAAACCTAGGTCAGCGCTGAACCCGATGATGAAGTAATCAAGATGGATGTGACAAGCCGTAGCGTGGCTGGCCGGAGGAACTGTCGGCGCTGCCCGCGGTGGACAATGCGTGAGATTTCGGCCCGCGGCTAGAGTAGAGGGGCAGAGCAGTGGTGTGTGATGATTAGTAGTGGTGGACGGCGGGCATTGCCAGCGTCACGGCGACGCGCGCGCGACCTCAAGTAACATCCGCCTGCCTACAGTTCTCAACGCCGCAGGAGA